TGTACCTTAGACTCCCCTTGCCCCCTCACCTTTTATAGCTCACCTAAAGATTTAGCTCTTTGACCGCGATTTCGGTCAAATCCACACTTCCTAATCCCTCTGACTTGGGTGTCCAGCTATCTGAATAAAAAGCTTTGAGATGTGTTCCTCTCGTGAAAAGCACGATAGAAATATAGAAATGTAAATTGTATTGTATTAATGACCAGTGAAAATAGCTACTCCCTTTTTATCTTCTCAAACCCTCCTTACATATCTGCTTCTTCTCTGTCTCCATGTGAATACATCACTTAGTACTAGAGGTTGTGGTTAAATTTGCCTCGTGCCATCAATCTCATCTTTTCTATTTAGTTGACAGGAATGTTCTGCTACAAAGGACAGCTGTGAATATTTCAGATACTGTAGTAGTACAAGATGGCATCTGAGATCATAAATTACTTACTGTTCCTTGATGCAAGTTTCTCACAGAATCTCTCTCTCTCTCTGTCATGTCTGGCTCAATTGGCAGCACTCTCATTTGTGTATCAGAAAGTTGTGGGTTCAAACTCCTCATCAGGACTTGGAACTCGCATAGTCTAAAGGACACTCTAAGCTGACACTCAAATGCAGTGCTGGAGGAGTGCCATCCTTTGGATGAGATGTTAAACTGAGGTCCTGTCTGTCTGTTTATGTGGATGTTAAACATCTCAGGGCACGACTCTAAAGGAGAAGACAGTTTCCCCTGGTGTCCTGGTCAACAAATCCCCCAGATAAAAAAAGTTGGCCAATCACTTCACGGCTGCTTTTGGTGCATTGCTGTGTGCAAATGAGCTGCCGTGTTTGACTATAAATACAGTCACTACACCTTACAGTAAATCCTGTCAACAACAACTTGCCGGGTGGAGATGATGGTAGGCACAGTCGAAGAGGAAGGTCTTCAGGCGGGATCTGAAGGTGGGCAAGGGACAAGATGGAGGGATGGAGAAAGTGTGTTCCAGAGTTTCAGGTCGCAGTGACTGAAAGTGTGGCCACTGATGGTCGAACGGAGGGCAGGAGACACTTTGTCAAGCGCTGAGATGTTCTCATGAAGTGGAAAGCTTTGTAGAGTACCAAATTGAAAGATTATTATTATTATTTTACAAAATCATGTTTGCATGATTTCCACGTCCATAGCAGTGTGTGCTGAAAAGTAGTTCACTTTTGTTTGATATTTGATACCTGTGGGAACTTACATCACTGAATCCAATGGTTCGTGACCACTGACAAATACTGTAGCAACTTCAAAGAACCTGTTCCTGCGTGATATATTACTGAAGTTCATTAATCGAGAGTTATTGAAAGAGCTGCTGGAAGGTGACAATATTATTACATTATTATCAAAGTCTGTACTTTGAAGTTTGAAAAAGCGAAATCTTCTGTTTCAAGTATTGTTTTTAATCTGACTGTGTGCTTGAATTTAATATTCAAGATTCAGCAGGAACCAAGAATAATAACAATGTGACTTATGTTTCATATAACGTCTTTCATGTCAGGAGGTTCTCTCAAAGCACTTCACAGGATATATCATTAAGTGTAGCGGCTGTGCATTTTGTAGACAAACATGGCCAGTTGGTTTGTTTCTGCGATGTCCACCATAAACATTCATGCAATGAATGATCAATTTTATTCACTGGGAGAAAGTCTTTTCAAATAGGTTCATAAGATCTTCAAATAGTGGCACTGATGGGACCTTGGCTTAACGTCTCATCCGAATGACGCCACCTCCGATAACACAGCCCTCCTCCAGTATTGCACTGGAGTGTCACTCGAGGCTGTGTGTTCAAAATCCCTATGTGGGGCTCGATGCCCATAACTTTCTGACTCAGAGATGAGAATGCTACAAACTGAGCCAGGCTGACACACCTGGTGGGTGGATCCTGCATGAGGGGTGTTGAGGAGGCATTAACAGCTTATATAAACGCAAGTTGTTGTTGTTGTTGATGCCTCCTTATCAGGATAAAGCATGAAAAGGGGTGCCGAGTGATAAGGAAACTAATGCAGTCACTTACTCATGGGAAGCTGGAAGCAGATGTTTTTTTTAAAGTGCAGTTAACTTACGGTGGGTTTGTGAAAGCAAGTCACTGATTGTGATTACGAGCTTTCCCAAGTGATGATCACCTCTGGTAGACCTCAGGGGAAGGGAAGACTGATGGAGGGTAAACTGAGGGAAGTAAGGAGTTTACAGTTTTGAGATGAGGGTCACAAGAGGTTTAAGAAGTCGTTATCACAATATAGGGAGCAGGGAGGGTTATGCCTCTTGTTCTATCGTCTTGGCTTGAGCAGAATGTCTGGTAGGCATAATCTGGAAGTAGGTAAAAATCGGAGGATATAACAATAATAATCCATGCATTTGGTAGTGTCTTTCAGGTCTGGAGGATGTCTCAAAATGCTTCACATGATTCACTATAAAGTGTAATGATGGTATTTCATAGGCAAATGTAGCAACCAATTTGCACACAGCAATAAATTAATAGAAACAAAGGAGGGATGTTTCAAGAACCTGTAACTTCAATTGTGCCATGCATATGCTTTATTCATTGATAAATTGGAATAATATACATCAGTGATACATAGACAGTTTGTGATTTAATATTTACATTGTGTTGATAAATTGAAGTTAATGGCAAGCCTCAAAGAAAAATGAGCGAGCTCCCTTTTATTTTACTCCGTACGTATCCTTTTACACTCTATACAAATACATAATTATGTTTTCAAAAATAATTCAACGGCTTTCTAAGATACAAAGCAGATTGTGGCTTTTTTTTTCTCCACAGCTGAGTCAATGAAATACAAATATTATCAGCACCAGATGCATCTGTATCTGGGTTTATTCACAATGGGCTACTTGACCATATAAAAGGAAAGGATAGCATGTGGAACACCACATACCATTCGGATACTGCTATTAATTACATCTCCGCAAAGGCGAGAAACACTGCAACTATTTAAGTGTGCTGTAGAAATTACGACAGAAAAAAGAATAAAAATATTGACTTCCTAAAAGGACAGCAACACATTTCCGTTTTTTGTTCATACTGTGTATCACGTTCAGGTGAATTCTTTTGGCAATAAAAGCAGATTGGCCACGATAAAGATTTCCATACGAGACAGAAACTTTTTGTTTCTCTACGTTATTGTATTTGGCACCAACATCACAGTTTGGGTTTCTGTTCAAGTTAAGAGCTGTCCTTTTGTTGGACGGGTCCAACCTTGTATGTTAAGTATACCTTTGATGCTTTTCCATTCGAACAATACTTCTCTGGTTTTAGAGGCTACACTGCCCACTGAGTGTGACTGTCTGGGACTAGCAACCGGTTGAACATCAACATAATAACTGCTGTCATTTTGGAATACTCAATATAACTGCATATAGTGCAACCCTTTTTCAAAGTCACTTTAAGCACTCCACGTCGCTACCCGCATGAAGGGCGCTTTATAAATGCAAGTTATTTTCTTGTTGTTGTTGCTGTCCCTTTGTAGAACTTTCTATATAGATATGCATTAAAATTATACATTTTATCTATATATATGTGTGTGTGTGTGAGTCAGCTGTAAGTTTACCTGACTTCGTGTTAATTTTCATTAATGTTTGAATACTGATGTTCTATGGGACTCAAGTCGGACCCCCTTGCAGACCAGCATAGTTACATTGCAACTTTATATAATATAACTCACTTTGTTCAGTATTTGCTATTTATTTGTTTAAATGTTAGAAAAATAATGAATATTCTGTCATAGAAAGTACACATATTGTGTTAGAATTAATAAGAATTTCAAAATTGGCATTGTCTACTCAAACTTGCAATAGTATCAATATTACTAGAGTATAAGAAAACAACCATTGAACATCGATGAGCAGTAGGTCCATTTAAAAGAGCTTATCAGGAGACAGACCTGCACATACAGGTCTCAGTTGTTGTTGGAAACTTCCTTTACGATGCTCGATCAATATGTAAACACTGGTCATTTGTGCTTTTCTGTTGAGATCAATGGAAATACGTCTTGATCCATAATATCATATGTTGATCAGGCAATTAGCTCTGCACAAGTACAGCACCTGGACACAGTCTGCCACCTGGTAAATAAGCTTTGTGCAGACACGAGGCCTATTAGTCAGAGATTATTAAACCGCATATAGTTTGTTTGCACAGCAAAAGGTCATTAATAATCCTTTGTTCTCTGAGCCAGAAGCAGGGAATCGTCCCACTAAATTTCGGCCTGCATATATCCCCTTAACCTGACTTCAAACAGTTTTAATGCCTTGTACTGTAATGTTAATCTGGTTCTGTCTGTAACTAGGCTGATATTCCAATTCTGAATAACCAAGTTCAATAACAATCCTTTTTTTAAAGTCATTTTCATAACACTGTATACGTCAAAAATAAATATACATAACATTTTATTTACAGTAATACTCTTTGAACCCCTCTCTACTGAAACGACTTCAGTTTATAATAATAATAATAATCCTTGCATTTGATATAGCGCCTTATCACGTCTTCGAGACGTTTAGTAGTCAGTCTGCAAGGCACCAGCAAACAAATAAGGGGTTACATTCCACTTTTGTAAAAGAGCGATACAGACATTATGTGCATTTATAACAGTTCTCAGCTCCCTTAAACGCAAGCAATTCCAAGAAAGGGAGCAAAGTGCTGGCGAATTTGCTGATATAATAATAATCTTTGCATTTGATTATAGCATCTTATCACATCTTCGAGGCATCTCAAAGCGCTTTGCAGAATATAACTGAATTGACTGTACATTTTGTGGGTGAAACGCGGCAGCCAATTGCGGACAGCAGTGTCCCACAAACAGTCATTGATTGAATGATCAAATTATTATTTTTTAAAAAAAAATTATTGAAGAGATTATTACCCCGGGAAAAGCGATCCGCCAATCAACTAACAACTAGGTTCCTACTTACTGCTGGGTAAACAGAGGCGTGCGGAGTAATGAAACTTGCCTAAGGTTTTGCCCTGCCCGGGAATCAAACTCAGGTCCTCTTGCTTACGAGGTGATTGCTCTAACCACTGCTACCAAGACTCCTATGAATTACGGGTGCTTTTTCAGACTATTATTCTGTGGTTTGCTCACCAGTTTCTAGATTCACGACAACAGACAGGTTGCTGGATGCACAGTATCAGCACCATAATGACACTGAACAGGACTGGCTGTGACTGTGAATGACACAGCCTCAGTGGAATCATCTTTTGCAATAAGCTTCACACTGAAAATGCTGTCTGCGAATTATTTAACTTCCAAATATTAGATCGATGATGGGGAGTGGTGGGGGAGTAGAGACTCACGGTTAGTGCACGTCTCAGACCTACTTAATTTAGTCTCTAATAAAATTATATATTGCAAACTGTGAGCTACACACAATATTTTCTTTTAACAATTCTTTTATACATTAATATTAATTGGAAGAAAGCAGTTCACTGCATAATTCCCTGCAACGTTCACATTACCCTGTAAACGAAGAAGACACTGAAGGAATTAGGTGATTTGAAAGCATGTATATGTTTCACAGAACAATTTGCAGATGATTGCAAATTCAACTGGGCTTAAGAATGCACCCTCACAAACAGGCAACGGTTGTGATAAAGTGGCAGCAATTCAGCACATGGTATGCAAGTGAATCCAGCCAATGTTTCCTATCGAGTCCAGAAAGAGATGTTCAATGCAGAAGGCTCTAATCTTCACTGGAGATTACGGTCTGATCAGACACTGCAAGGTTGCATCTACGGAAAGGTTTTCCTCTCTCCCTGGATGTTGCCTGACCTGCTGTGTGTTTCCAGCGACTTCTGTCAATATACTGCAAGGTTAACAGAGGCTTCTGTGTCTGACGAACTTCCTCCTGGCAGTGATACAGCACTTTATCAATACATTTATTAATATAAACAGTGCGTGCAGAAGGCAGGCCAGATGTTTGCATTTGATGGAAGGCAGTCTTGTGAACCAGATCACAGTGTAAAAACCTTAACGTTTTCCTGAAGTCCCTTCATTCACGTCCTCTCACACAGTTTCGACTTTGCTGGGGTCGTAAGCATCTGGAAAACAGGAGTGATCTAAGTAAAGGAAAGCACATCAACATCTGTCTTGCACTTGAAGTTTGCACTCACTCACACTACAGTGTGTATAAACAATATGCGGATATATTGAATAAAAGCACTCAAGAGTTATAGGGTAAACCCAGATCAATGCTTAGGATGCATCAAGCACAGATTGAGTTACAAGGGGCAATTTCATGACAGACACCATAAAGTTTTACTTTATACAGAAAGTAATTAACGACTGGAACAGATCACGAGGAAGGGTGGTTGAGGCCAGGATACTGAGGGGGGGGGGGGGGATGGAACAAAGGGAGATGTAACAATGAGATTCGATGGAACAAACGGTTTTATTCATCCAAACCAATCTTGTAATCTTGTGAACCTTCTGAACCAGAGGTGGGAGTGAACCTGCTGACATACTCTGACTGATAACACATTGGCATAATTTATGTTTTAGAAATTGATAATTACACATTAATTATGAAAAAGTCAAAATATTGTAAATTAGACCCCCAAATCTTTAATAGATCTTTTCAACACAGTGAAAAAACAAAAGTTTACAATAGAATAATAATCCTCATTTGATATAGCAACTTATCACATCTTGGAGACGTCTCAAAGCGCTTCACAGGATATACTGTAAAGTGAAATGAATGTATATTTTGTGGCTATGAAACGGATAAAATTCCTTCCAAAAATGTGTCAGAACTTGATTAACATGAAATGTCAGCCTAGACTTCTTTGAGCAGAATATTGAGTCCTGGAGAATTTATGTGCGAAAGGCAATTAGTGCTATATTCTATTTGGACAAGATTGTTTACACATCGCAAAACAAAATTGCCTGCCAAAATAAATAGTAGTGCTACAGAGCTTCAAATATACTGTCTTCATATCAGTCAATCCTTAAATAGCCCATAAAAAGTCTGGTCTGTTCCTGCTGACTTTAAATAACTGATGTTCATTAATGTAATCACAAACACCAGAACACAAAACAAAGCCATTAAACTTTACTGCCTTGTGGTGATGTGGTAGTGATTAGCTCCCTCTTATGATCACTCTGGATATTGCAGTATTGTATGTTTTGCAAATTAATATATTACAAAATAATCCTTGCATTTGATATAGCGCCTTATCACATCATTGAGATGTAGCAAAGAGCTTCACAGAAAATGTTGTAAAGTGGATTGACTGTGTAATTTGTGGGCGAAGCGTGTCAGCCAATTGCACACAGTATCCCACGAAGGAGGGATTATTAACCCTGAAAAGTCATCCGCCAATCGACTCACAACTACTTACTGCTAGGTAAACAGAGGCGTGCGGAGTAAGGAAACTTGCCTCCGGTTTTGCACTGCCTGGGAATCCTACCTGGGTCCACTCGCTTATTATTATCATGTTGTCAAGATGTCTAAAAGTTCACTGGGGTGAAATGTAGTCCGTCAATAAACACATATATATAAATCCTGCATTTGATGTTGCAGCTCTCAGGTCATAACATCTCAAATACAGTAAAGTCTCCAAGGCCTTGCTCCCTCCTACCTCTGTGACCTGCTAACGCCATATCAACCTGTCCATTGCCTCTGCTCAGCAGGCTCCGGCCTGCTCCAAGTCCCCCTCCCGGCCTCCCCCACCATTGGCGGTCGGGCCGTCAGCCTCTCTGCCCCCACCCTTGGAACTCCATTCCACCGTCCCTTCACCTCGCTCCCTCCCTTGCCTCCTTCAAGGCATGTCTCTAGACCCTGCTCTTCGACCGTGCCTTCAGCCACCCTCCTACCCCTACCTTCTCCCCTCCACCCTCCTGATCCCAACCCCCAGCTCGGGCCCAAATCCCTTATTGTCCATGGCCTTGGGAATTCCTCCCGCTGTGAAAGGCGCTTTACAAATTTATTTTGCTGTTGTTTGTTATTGTTGTAATTACTGTTAAGTGTGGTCAAGACATTTTTTTTAGGCAAACACGACAGCTAATTTGTGCACAGCAAAGACCTACAAGCAGCCGGAAGGGGAATAATCAATTTATCTGGAGGAATATAGGTGTGAGACATTGTTCTCTTTTCGAGTAATGTCATGGGACTTGAAACATCCCCCTGAACAGGCAGATGGGATCTTGGTTCAATGATTCACTTGAAGGAACTCCGAAAATGCATGGCTTCCCCAACACTGCCCTGTCAACCTCGCTGAAAGTCTCTGATGTAGGGCCTGTGCCCAAAACCTTCTAAAACGAAAACGAGAATGCTGCAGAACACCATTAAAATGCAGTCTGAAAAGTGTGTGGTGGCAAAAATGGCTTTTATATTACATAAGTTGGTTTACACATGGCAGATGTTAAAAGGTGAATTAATTACTGGAATATTTGGGATCCTGGTTCTGTTGGGATGTATGTTTCGTGTTATCAACCTGCTGAGCTGCTTATCAAGCGTGGTCTCATTTTTCGGAGGTGCAGCTATTGGTTTTGTGAAGAGGCTGGAGCTGTGGTTATTGACATAGCTCCTGTTTCTTAACTACGGTTTCAGATAAATTAATATAATGATCAGCAATGCTCCGACATGCTAGCCATCTGCCAGGCCCAGTCAAAGTCCAGTCCAATGTTTACTTTTCAAAAAACAAGCATGTGCTCTGACGTTTTCTGCGTAGAGAAAGTGCTGGGTAGAGAAAGTGCTGGGTAGAGAAAAAATCCAAAGCCCGGCAAAATCAATTACTAATTTCAGTAACAACAATTTATATTTATATAGCATCCTCCATCCCTGGGTCCCTGTGATTCTGACCTCTTTGACTTCGCTTTCCATCATCTTCTCCCTCCCCCCACCTCACCCACTCACTCGGGTCCTCAGGCAGCTGTGTAAAGCACTTTGAGGCATCCTTCTGCCTATGTAAATTGTATTCTATTGTAAAAGTTCACTTGAAATCCTTTTAGTGTGCCTTTGCAAGAATTGCTTCAATACTGCACTATTAATCAATACCTCAATTGCTTCAACATGATCAATAATCCTTTAAGCATGCCTCCGGTCATCCTCCCACCCCTAGCTCCCTTGCTCTCTTCTCTTCTTGATTCCAACCCCCAGTTTGGATGCAAATCCCTGACTGTCCAGCACCTTGGAATGACCTCCTAACATGAAAGGTGCGTGGAGTCCTGTAGCTCAGTCGCAAAACGTTGGGCAAGTTTCCTTACTCCACACGCCTCTGTTTACCTAGCAGTAAGTAGGAACCCGGTTGTTAGTCGATTAGCAGATCGCTTTTCCGGAGGTAATAATTCCTTAAAAAAAAAAAAATTGGTCACTTCAATCCATGATGGTCTGTGGGACACTGCTGTGCGCAATTGGCTGCTGAGTTTCGCCTACAAATAATAATAATAATAATCCTTGCATTTGATATAGCGTTTTTCACGTCGGGAGGACGTCCCAAAGCGCTTCACAGAAAGTGAATTGACTGTATATTTGTGGGCGAACGCGGCAGCCAATTGCGCACAGCAGTGTCCCACAAACAGTCGTAGATTGAAAATTACCAATTTATTATTGTTTTTGGTTTTTGGAGGGATTATTATTAGGCTCTGTGTGGAGTAAGGAAACTTGCCCAAGGTTTCGCCCTCTGCCTGGAATTGAACTCAGGTCTCTCACTTGCAAAGCGAGTGCTCTAACCACTGAGCTACAGGACTCCACAAAGATATACAGTCAATTCACTTTACAGTATATTCTATGAAGCGCTTTGAGACATCTCGAAGACGTGATAAGGCGCTATATCAAATGCAAGGATTATTATTACTATAAATGCAATTTGTTCTTGTTGTGGCAACTGAGGCACATGGATTTAGGAATAAAGCCGGTTTAATTTTTTTTTCTGTTTGTTTACTCGTTCCTTGGATGTGGGCGATGTCAGGGCAAGAGTTTATCTCGAGTTGCCTTGAGAAGGACAAGATCGGGATTTATGAGGACACCAAAGCAATGTCAAAAGTTCAATTTAAAAGCAGCATTATTCACACTACTAAGTGTCAGCTACCATTGCCTCTCAGGGCTTGTATTCCTCCCTACCCATTACTCAACTGGTCTGCTTCTTGTCACCGTACACTGTTAAGCTCTTTGTCAGCCATGCTCATTTGGTAGCACTTTCTCCTTTGGATCTGAAGGTTCAACCCACAATTCGGGACTTGAGGTCATAGTCCAGGCTGACAATCTAGTGCAGTAGTGGGACAGAGATGCTTTGTCAGAGGTACTTTTGCTTAAACCAAGGTAATGTTTGTAAAACTCCTGATTAATCAATCATTCTTCTTTGTGGCTGCTTGTGGGATTTTGCTAGCGCAAATGGTTGTGGTTCTGCCAACAAAATAGACATTAAACTTCACACAATTATGTGTAAAGTGCTTTGAGACATCCTGACGTGATAAAGCGCTATAAAAATTCAGATTCTTTCTTGTCACGAGGTTTAAGTAGAATCTTACACCTCACTCCTTCTGTCAGGTTGCAAATCAGCTGACAGAAGTAGGGATTTAAGAGAAAGCTAGACCTTCACATGAGGGAGAGGGGAATTCAGGCTGTAAGCAATGACCTTGAGCTCTGCTAACATCCAATCTCGGCATTTGCCACCAAGCTGTGCCCTTTTCCCTCATCTCATTGCTCTTAAAAGACAAGAACCTTCGGGTATATTTTACATATTTCACAAACTTAAATTCAAAATTCATGTTCTAAGAACTCTTCATCTCTGGAAACATCTCGGGAGAGGGGAGCTGCTGAATTTTTTACTGCTGAGGAGCGGGAGGCAAAGCTGGGAGTTAGTTGGTGCAGGCTCAACCTGCCACCGCGTGAAAGAAATCCATAATGAATTTCTTTAGAAAGATACTGCACTGCAGTGCAAGTATAACAGAAGTATAGAACATCTGCCACAATCAGCTTCAACCTAACTACCTTTCATACATGGAACCATGGTCAATACTTGATGCGATGCCTAAGGAATATAAAAAACACGTTTTCTCTATAAATATTCTCGTCATAATAATAATGATCCTTGTATTTGGCATAGGGCCTTTCATGACAGGAGAACGCCTCAAAGCTTCAGCAGATTTACTGTGAAGGTGGAGTGACTATGTTTTTAAGAGGTGAACCCAATAGCCAATTTGCGCACGGCAACGTCCCACAAACAGCCATAGGGTGAAGGACCAATTTTATTTTATTTGGGGGGATTGTTGGCCTGAACACCAGAAGAAATTCCCTTCTGTTTTCAAATACTGCCTTGGGATCTTTAAAGTTCACCTACATGGATAGACAGGACCTAGGTTTAATATATGTTCTTCATGACATGTGTGTTACCTTGCAGTTTTCTCGAATGATGTGTTTGACCACCTGACATTTATTTTATCCTCTTTATTTACCTCCTGTTGATTGTATGCTTTGAATGGCACCTGGTGCTGTCCTGATGTTTTGACTGCAGATCCTGGCTACGCACGGAATTGGTTTGCTTGCTTTCCAGTTAAATTATCAGCTGTATATACAATTATTAGTCACGTGCTACACTTTACAATGTAAACTGTCCCCCTCACCTGTGGAGCCATCTGTTTAACGTAACACCTGCGTATGTTTTTTATTGTAAAGTATTACTGTCCCACAATGATCATTTCCTTAGTACATACAAAACATTATTTGTTATTAATGAAATTACATAGATTTACGTAGAATTTACCACAAGGAAACAGGCATTCAAGTCCAACTAGTTTGTGCTGACATTCATACTCCACACAAGTCTCCACCCACTCCTTACTCCCTTCTATTCCCCTCTCCCTCGTGTGAAGGTCCAGCTTCCTCTTGATTGCATCTACACTATCTGATTCAACTTCCACTTCATCAGCGAGTTCCATAGTCTCACGACCCTCTGCATTAAGAGTTCCTCCTAAATTCTCTTTTAGATCCCCTAATATCTTTCTTATACTTTTATCTTATAAAATCTTATCATTATTAATACAGTAATAATAATCCTTGCATTTGATATGGCACCATATCATGTCATTGAGATATCTTGGAACGCTTCACAGGAATTACTGTAAAGTGAAGTAACTGTACTTTGGAGGCGAATGCGGCAGCTAATTTGAGGCAATGTGAACTCTGTGAAGCCCTGACTTGGGGCTTGAACCTACAACCTCCTGATTCAGAGACAAAACGGCTACCAATTGAGCTCGGTTGATAGTCTGTTCACCAGGATATAAAAGAGTATATATTATAACCATATAAATTATGACTGGCCTGGACTGGCTATTTGCTTACCAACATCTGTATATTTAGGCTGTACCTCCAGTAATCTGTCCCTTGTGCATACATACACTTTATGTCCTTGCCTCTGAATAGATTGATAGCGTACATTATTAAACCATGTTTGCTCATTTTAAGCAATAGGGAGCATTTGACAACCAGCGAACGCCTGCTGCACAATAAGACCAAAGTCACAGTTGGAACCCTTTCCTTTTGTGCCTCAGTTGTAGTCCATCCTTTGCCCATTTTTCACCTTGCACAGAAGTGAGATGTGTCATGAGCAGCTACGTTTCGGAACAAATGAAAATGATAATCCGTTGCATTTGATATAGTGCCGACAGCATTAAAATATCTCAAAGCACTTCACAGATAACTGCTGTCAAGTGCAGCCAATTTGCATGCAGAAGGTCCCAGGTCTGCAGGACTGCTGGGACAGGACACCAGGAGAAACTCCCTTCTGTTTTTAATTACAGCGGAGTCCTGTATTAAACCAGTCTTTTGGAACCATAACCCCCATCCCACCTCCAAGTCACCTATAGTGAGGTGAGATGGCAGCGTGTTCATGGTTAGCCCCGTTACTCCCTGCATTCCGGTGCTAAAACAGGTCAAGAAGTTGCCATCAAGCACACAAGGAGGGAGGGGGCAAGGCGGAGGCACTCTGGGGTATAGTTCCCTAATACTCAGTCTCAAAGACCTTTAACAAAATGCACACTGTTTTTGTTTTAGAGATTTAATTGGTCTAAAGGAGGAATGATTGACAAAAGACATTGTCACCTCCTTACGTGAGGGTGAGCTGTCCCAGTGCAGTGGAATGGCATTGACTCTTACCTTTCCTGCTGTTTTCAGAAGACTCTGTGGGCAGCTAACAGAATGACATATGCCAGGCTAAAGGTTTGAATGACTGAAATTAAATCAAATTGCTAATAGAGTGCAGCCCCTTTATAATGTGCTTCTTTATAGCACAGATTCAGTTATAGTGTGGTTGCACCCAAGGCATAGTCAACTCACTTTTTTCCCCCATTCGCCAGTCGGCATCCGATGCATCAGGTCGTGGTGATGTCACTTCCTGCTTTGCACATGTGCAGCAACAGGAAGTGATGTCTGGGATGTCCTAATGATCTTGAAGTTGGCCATTTTTTTCTTTTGGGATGGGAACGAGCAGTGTGCAGGAGCAAACTGACTGGGTGTGTACATTTGTAGTAAAATTGAGTATCGGGTCTCGTTATAACACAGGGTCGGAATTAACAAACCAAACCACCATGTTATAACGGGTCTCCCCTCTACTGTGACAGCTGAGGGTGGTTGGATTGATGCTGTCTATGTACTCACTTGGCTGGAAATGAATGAGATGCAGCAAATTAAGAGTCTTTTACTTGTGACACCCAGATTACACACACCAGCACTGGGAGCTCGGGTTTATTTTGAAACGCGACCATCAAAGTCATTCGCCCACAAAACATATAGTCAATTCACTTTATAATATATTCTGTGAAGCGCTTTGAGGTGTCTCAAAGATACGATAAGACACTATGTCAAATGCAAGGATAATTATTATTTAAATCATCCATTCCTTTCAGAATGTAATCAGTCACTGTGGTAACAGTCACTGAAATGGCTGAAATGTGCCTGCTAGTTGGCTTAAGGTAAGGTACTAATTTATATTTTAGTCCCAAACACAGACGTAAACGTTTTACATTGGGGACAGCATGGAATTTGCGATTCTTCCAGTTGATAAAATAATAATAATAATAATCCTGGCTTTTGATGTAGCATTTTCACATCGAGAAAACATCTCAAAGCGCTTTGCAGGAATTACAAACAACCAGGAAGTGAACAGCCAATTTTATCTGGGGGTTTGTTGGCTGGGACACCAGGAGAAAGCCCCTTCTCTTTTCAATCAGTGCAACGGGATCTTAAATGTCCAAATGAACAGGCAGATGGGGCCTCGGTTGAATGTCTCATCTGAAGGACAGCAAGTCCACCAATGCAGCACTCGCCCGGCACTGCTTTGTGGTGCTGACCTGGATTGTGATTTCAAAGTAATATGCAGGAAGGTGAGTGAAACAGCTCAGACAAGAAACACTCCACTCCACCTCCCTTACAATACATACATATCTCTCTCCTGGTGCTATTCTGTGATGTTGTTAATATAGTCACGGCATTGCCTTGTGAACGTTTTATAAAGACGTACCTCCATTCTCTCTGCTCTCAGCATCAGTTGTTCGCGAAGACACAAAAGGCTTCAAGTCATGGTCCAGTGATGTCGTCTTGATGGTCAAAGAGACACTTAAGCTTGTTGTGCAAGTGCCTTCCTTCCTGGCTGATACATAGACACCACTTTCCTTCTCTCCTTGCTCTGCGCTGTATTGCTCCTCCTCCAGTTCATCTCCAGAATCGGTACTTTTGATGCTGAGACGTCTTATGCGAGAAACTGAATCCACTTCCTTCATTCTGGCCAAGCGATCGAGAGCAGCTCGATGTGGCGACACTGACAGCTTGCCCTGCAGAGCACCGATCATCTCCGACGTGTTCCGACTTTTTCTGTCCGCGCCTGGAGCAGGGACGGTTTCTCCCTCTGTGCTAAAGCAGCAGTGTTTGTCAGCCCAACTGTAGAACTCCGTGAACGGTCCATGGAACAGCTCGTTTATGATGGCCCTTTTCTCCCACTGTGAATCTTCGTTCTTTTCTCTGGGTCGTTTTGGCAATTTATTCCCCAGCGCTTTGTGTTCACCAGGTACCCAAGGGGCTGTTCCATTGAATGGGCTTTGTTTCCATTCTGGTAGCTTATTCACATCCGAAAGGTCTGTTGTTGCACACCATAGCGGTTCTACGGAAGAGTACATTTTGCCTGATGGAAAATGACCAGAACAGATGACTTCCTGCTCTGCGAAACATTTTGTCTCATTTTCCTCGGCATCCTGGTTCCTGATTTTTTTCCCCGAAGAAATCAACGATTCCACTGCTACCTCTATTCCTAAAATCCTTGAGGCCCTTTCTTCCAGTGATTCATTTTTGGCCAATTCTGCAGTCTTCTGCTCAAAGAGGTCGTTAAGGTTATCGACATTTGGTTTTGTGCTTTTTTGACACTTTCGAGAGTTCAGCTCAGTTTCAAAATAATCCGGATCTTTGTGAACCAGAGTCAATCCAATCGTATCATCACATTCAGTGTCATTGGGCACGGATTGTTTGCTTGGCGCCATAGCATTGGTCGATATGTCTTTACTCCTGTTGCTTTCTGCCGCTGTTTCACTTAAATAGTACATACGCTTTCTCACTCCATTGATGCTTTTATTTTGCCTTTTGTCACTGATGCCATCTACATTCTGTTCATGGTTTACTTCTGTAAATTGTACACCTTTTGCTGTTGATGCTTTTATGCCTGTACTGCCTTCAGAATCCAATGTTCTTGTGTTGAGAAGGTCCCAAAACAAATGACCTGACTGGCTGCCCTGCTTCCTGTCAACAGCACCTACTTTCGAAAATGTTTGTGATTCAGAAGTGATGTACATGTCATTGTGGCACATTTGACTTTCGCGACTTTCCAACTCTTCTTTGGCCTTGCTAATTTTGGCTGAAGATTTTTCAGGCACAGGCAGAGTGGGTTTCTGACATTTTACCGTTTGTCCATTTGAACCGTCTGCATCTGGGTTTGCTGGTTGGGTCTCAGTCTGATCGCCATCTTCCTTGGCCTTAAACTGCCTGTTATGATCCTCGACTTCCTGAATCTCTTTATTGAAACTTTCCAATTCGCTTATTGCATCCCAAGGTCGCCGGTTTACAGGCTTCAAGAGGAACTGTCCAAACCCTACAGCCTCTCTGCTATTGTTGGAGGTTGCTTGTATTCCCCTTACGTTATACTCCACAAGGTCTTCTATGCTTACGTCTTTTTCACGCAAGTTTTTTGAAGACACTTCAAGATAACTTTGGTGAGCGTTAACATTGCTAACCTGATTCTGTGCAGAAGTTGTCCTTGAGAAAGCACTGTTGGTAGATGGATATAAGCTTGTTTGACCATTTATTGAGAATACGCTCTGTTTATATTTCTGGTCATTGATGGTTGTAACTTCCTCACTTCTCTGATTGTCTTTCACGACTGCAGGTTCTGAACAGTTCTGGCTTTGTGTCTGGCTGCCTGTTGCAAGCTTTTTCATAATCCCAGTGATTTGCTTAGCACTCCGGGGAGCTTTATTGAAACTTGTTTGTGTTTCTTGATCTCTATACTGGTCACCTGGCCAGGAACCTGTGGCTCTCAATACATTGTGTTGGTTAAAATTATAGCCAGCTCTATGTCTATTGCTAACATCCTTCCATATCTCTGGTCTCTTCAGCCCATTTTCTGCCGTCATATTTCCCATCAATGCTTGTAACTCCAGGTCAGAGGAAGACATGCTCAAGAGACTTTGTTCTGTTAAGTTTCCAGCACTTTCATCTGTGTCCTTTTCAGCATTCGCATCACTCACCTCGACGTTTACAGTACCTCCGTTTGAACAGTCTTCTTGTGTTTTTACCGGAACCGACACAAGGCAAAATATAGTCTCGGTCATTCTTCTTTTTGGACGTTTCTTTTCTTGAATTTCAAAGCACTGAGAATCTGGTTCCCACTTTTTTACCTGGGTTATAGTCTCAAAAGTGCCTTGATTCGTATGTGCTTCCTGTCTAGTGTTGGTGCTTGGCTGTGGAAAAGCTGCTGGCTGGTTTGTGTTTGAACAAACTGTTGAGTTAGACTTTAATGAGGAGTCACACTGGTTTCTGACATATGGTTTGCAACAATGGTCAGACTTCGTACCATTCTGATTTTCTGGCTTGGATGCAACCAACCATCTGTTGCCAGATGTACAATCAACAATAGGCCTCAGCCCTGCCTGAGTGGAATAAACTGACCCAAGTGGAACAGAAAAGGCACTGCAATGGTCTGATGGTTCAAATGTTTTGTTTCCATTGGGAGCACGGTCCCATGCATTCCGCTGTTCATGTTTAGTATTGGCCTCACCATATTGCTTCTCTGACTGCACTATAGTAATATGTCTGATTCGAGGATCATCAAAGGGGATGTATTTAACAAAAGCCTTTTGATCATCCATGTAACCATTATGCGATGAATTATGAATTTCCCTTTCTTGAGGTGTGCTCTTTGCTTGCAGGAGTTGTTCTTTGGAGCCAGTGTTGATAAGTATCTGCTTTTGCTGAGCACAGTCTCTCTCCTGATGTTCCAGAGACCAATGAGCCTTATCACTAGGAGTCTCTGCTGACCGGTAGGGTTGGCACATGTTGTTACAGCTAGGCACTTTATCGGAACATTTCTGACTGACTTTCTGCTGAGGTGGTGCTTTGTATGATGGAGGAGGCACGTAGCCTGGTGGCTCCAGGCTGGTAGTAGTAGCGGCAGCTTGGGAGTAGGAATTCGACCCTGCAATTGCTTCGTCCTTGGCAAAATAGGTCACCTGCTCATCGTTCTCTCCACGAACCTGGAGACTAGGTATCATCTCTGAACTTCTCCTTATTTGCTGGTACAGTTCATAGGAAGGAGGTTTCAGTGGTCGACTGAACTTCGGTTTTGACAACAGCGCAAACTGAGCACTTTGCCCAAAACTTTCAGTAAAGTTTGAACTTGCTTTAGAATTAAAATATGAGCTGCTGTCTTGTAATTTATAGCCCTGCAAACGCTGATTTTCCAATCTATCTCCATCCAGCCCAGACATATCAATGTAATGCAGACTTGTCTGAAATTCGTTGCCACTGCTCTCTGGTACAACTCTGGGCAGCGACTGAGACTTTTCCTTTCTTATATTCTGTCCTCTTTCTGTTTTACATGCTTCGTTACCAACTACTTGGGAAAACAGGCCATGTCCAAACCTGTGTCCATTCCCATCAGACAGTTGTCTTCCCAAAGAAGACCTCCATTCCTCCGTGCCCAAGCTTTGGCACATCCGATCCTCTGGCAATCTCCACTTGTCCTCATACATCTCCTTCGCCATCATACTCTGACCTTCTACAAACCAATGCTTTTGCTCATTTATTCTGCTCGTCTCTGCCGTACGCTGCTTTTCCTTCAGTGCTGCATGTTGAAGATGCATTGCTCCTTGTTCAGTGTTTGGAATGTTTTGAGTTTTTGTTGCATTGTATCCCCTGTAGTCTGAGTCCCCTCGGTTTGTATAATCTAGTAAAACACTGAAGTCTTGTCCTCTTCGTCTCCAGTAGGTGATGTCCTTCTCTGATTTTGGTCCAGATGGGCAGAGTAATGGAGGACCACCATTCAGCCTGTAGCGGTGAATGACATGGAGAATGAGTTAGTCACTACTAAGAAACTCTCGGTCACCCTATTCAGAATAATTTTCTTGTTGATTAGACCTTAAAGAAGGAATGAATTGTTAGAATTCAGCAGTCATGTTTCTTAACATGCGGGGGCCATTTTATACCAATTTTTCTACACAATGGTCTTCTTCTGTCCTGGAAAATTTCTAAGTATACTGTCATGAATCCAGCCTATAACGTACTTTTTAAAAATTGTAATCATTCATTTTATATTTCACCAAAAGAGAAGGGTGCATGTAACAATTTGTTGCCCAAAGAAATGTTAACATGCTTGGAAGAATGTGGGAGCAGCATGTAAATGGTACATGCACATTAATAATCCTTTCATTTGTCATAGTGCCTTATCATGTTTTTGAGATGTCTCAAAGCGCTTCACAGAATATACTGTAAAGTGAATTGATAGTAGCCAATTGCACACAGCAGTGTCCCACAAACAGTCATGAATTGAGTGACCAATTTATTATTATCATTTAAGGGATTTTTACCCCTGGAAAAGCGATCCGCCAATCAACTAACAACCGGGTTCTTACTTACTGTTAGGTAAACAGAGATGTGTGGAGTAAGGAAACTTGCCTAAGGTTTCTCCCCACCTGGGAATCAAACCCAGGTCCTCTCGCTTGCGAGGCGAGTGCTCTAATCAATATGCTACAGAACTTATTAATTCAGAACTATAACTATATAGGCCTGGTGAACTGACAGTCAAAACTGGTGATTTCAGTCTGAGTATAATAACCAGATCCTATATTTCAGGCACTTCTCTCATTAAAGGCATGAATCAGACAGAAAAACAGGGATGCCTTGTTTTATTAAATGAGAACGAGGAGCTCAGTGGTGATATCTTATGGTTCAGTAGCAATAGCCCACAGGACCCCTATTAAATCTGAACAATAACATTGTTGTTGTTGTTGAAGAGTGCACCCTCATGTGGGAAAGGACTAGTCCAGAGTAAAACTATAAATCTGTGGTGGGTCAACAGTAACCAAGGGACCAGATGCCATATCCAGCAATCAATCAAACCTGCTGAAATGCCCCCCCCCACACAGTCATGGATTGAGTGACCAAATTATTATTATTTTTTAAGGGATTATTTCCCTCGGAAAGGCAATCCACCAATCGACTAACAACCGGGAAACACATAGATTGTTTCCAGAAATTACAATTAGCCGTAAACCCTATTTACGCCCGTTACTCACTACTTCATCACATTCCAGATAGGGAGTTAGGTTTTGCACGGTCTGTGAATGAAGAATGGAGATCTCAACATGTGTTTCATCCAACCCCCTGTGATAGCATGCTAGCTTGGGGAGGGGGTTCCAGAGGGTGGGGGTCTGCAATGGAGATCCCAACATCCAATGCAGACCATCCCCTATTATAACATGGTAGTTGGAAGTTGTTGGCTTAAAAATGAGACTGGGTTACAAAGGGACCCTCGCTTCTAGGATTTCCGTGTGGACACAGAGCATCTACCAACACTTCCAGCAGGGGTCACTACCACAGCAATTTTGAGCTTGGGGTGCGGGAAGTGTGCTTGATTTCTCTTCTCCCTTTCCCAGGCTGAGACGGCAACTTTTGAAGGTCCTGGTGGTAATCAGGCTACTCAGCACAAACTAGAGATCAGACGAGAGTGAGGGGGGTGGTAATCCAGGTCTGTATGGTTCACATTTACATGCCGCAACCGCTTTACCAACTTGGCCATCAAAGGAGCTCATTTTAGGAATTTCTCCCGGTGTTCTGGCCAACAATCCCCAAGGTAAAATTAATCACTCATTTCATGGCTGTTTGTGGGATATTGCTATGGTAAATTAGCTGCAGCATTCTCCTACAAACAAAAAGTTACTCCACTTTACAGTAACATCCTGTGAAGCGCTTTGAGACGCCCTCCCGACGTGAAAGGCATTGTATCAAATGCAACGATTAATACGGTATTATCATCATACATCTTACACTTACTCTCATCTGCATTTTCTCTACTATTGCAACGTTTAAAGCATCCATACCTGTATGAATCTTCCCTTTCACATTCTGTCACAATATTCAGACTCCACTAGCTCCATTCCCTTCCTCTCCTTTCCATTATTAAACAAATCAACAACATAAAAACCCTTAACAATTATTAACCTTGGCACCAGTGAAAGCACTGGGTACTTGACCTTTCAGAGTCGTCAGTAAGAAGAGTTTATCATAATGTCCTGCAGCACTAGATCCAAAGTCAGGTTCCAGAAATGGAAGAGCGTGTTCTGTGTCACCAAGTCCACCTTGTTAAATCTCTTCACATAATTCCTCGCCTCAAACCCATCATACGTTTGGATTGTGACCAGGACAGAAAGCAAAAACAAGAAAAATCCCACACAATGTGCCTGCAAAAGCAGCTCAGCCCCTCAGTCAAACACTGCAAACTGCAATGCATCTACGCCACAGCACTGAGAGGCAAGTGCTGCTGTGGGCTGAAGAAATCCAGTCTGTAACATTGCACCTGGGAAGCTGGAGCCTGAGCCCTTCTGGGTGGGATTATGCGGTGAGGAGTAGGCTGTTCGCGTGCTGAACCTCTGTTATGTAACTTTTTACACAGAAATTTGGCTCTAAAGTGAGGCGGTCTTTTGTTTAAAGCAAAGCAAATTGTAAAAATGAATGGATACTCAAACAAAATCAAAATGTTAGATTTTTAGTAGAATTCCCCCATCACCACCTCTCCTCCCCACTGCCTCCCCCCCCACACCGTGAGGTGTATTCTAACTGCTGTGTAGCTTTTCCCCCCTCGAGGCTGTTTTTTACGTCCCAAGTGATTTTTTTTTGGCTCTTTTCACTTTCAATGTGCTTTTCTGATCCACTTAACAGCTGCAGTGCGCTGGTTTCTGTTTCACAATGCTATCTCCAGGATCAGACAGTGTTCCCTTCCACTCAAACCTCAAACCCTATTAAAGGGAAAAGCACTGTGACAGTGGAGGTCAGGGGAGTCTCTATTGCAAAATAAAGTAAAGATCTGAGGTGGAGTTGATTTTTTTTTGGTCAGCCGTGAATACGTGTCAGCGTGTGGGAATCCATCGCTGTGTTATATAGATTCATAGAAAGTACAGCTGAGAAACAGGCCATTCAAGACCATCCAATCCCGCCAGCGCCTATACGCCACACAAATGCCCATCTTAGATCCTATCCCTAGTCCTATATTCCGGCCCTTTACCCATATCCCTCAACGTTCTTCTCCCTCAACCAAGTGTCCAGCCTTTTTTTTTAAATTGCCACGCAAAAAACCAAAGCATAGAATTACACGTTTTTTTTCCGAAAAGGTTCCTACTAATCTCTGCTCTGGACCTCCCAGCTCGGATTTTAAAACTCAGGTTCACTTGTGTTAGCAAACAATGTGTCTTATCTTTTATCTGCTGAGCACCTAGTTAGCCACACGTTTCTGTGCTGACATCTGATAAAAGCCAAAATGTGTGCCTGCAAAGTACATTGCCTAATATCTTCCATCTGATCCTTTTATTCTGCACGTGTTTCCCGCTGGGTGGGAGGGAGGGGAGAGGTGAAAGGTGAATCAAGGTTCCTTCTGCGCTTGAAAGGGAAATCAAAAAAAGCACCAGAACAGCAAAGAGTGGCCAAAGAATTGTTCTGCAACAAGACGCACAAACAACATGCCTCCCAGTCAGGGCACATTTAAAAAGAGTCAGTTTTACATGCAGAAACTTTAATGATGTGCTGTTTTAATGAGAAAATCCCATTAGAAACCAATATTGTCATTGGCACTATTCTTAACTGACAGAAATCTCAGCCTCCAAACCTGTAGAGCTGTTAACTCTAAACAACAAAAACAAAATTACATTGGTATAGCACCTTTCACGTCAGGAGGACGTCCCAAGGCGCTGGACAGAGAGTTTCGGACCCGAGCTGAGGGTCAGGGTGGGGGAGTGGGGAAGGCAGGAAGCAGGGAGATCAAAGCACAATCGAAGAGGAGGGTCTTGAAGGTGGCGAGGGAGGGGGCAAGATGGAGGGACTGCGGAATGGAGTTTCACAGGGTGGGTGCAGAGTGGTGGAAGGCCCGCCCGCCGATAGTAAAGTGGGGGACGTGAAGCAGGCCGGAGCCCACTGAGCGGAGGGAGCGATCAGGATGGTAGGGAGTTAGGAGGTCGCAGAGGTAGAGGGGAGCAATACCATGCAGGGCTTTGAAGGTGAGGACCAGGATCTTGAACTGTATCCTCTGTGTGATGGGAAGCAGTGAATTTGCACAGTCGAGCCTCGATGTAATGAAGGTCTTGGCAGCCTGCGGTGTGAGACAGTGTTGGAGCCGGGCGACTTTGTGGAGGTGGGCAGTGTGGATCATGGCGCGAATGTGGGGTAGAAAATATAGTTGAGGGTCAAACAAGACCCCAAGGTTCCGGACTGACTCAGCAAGTTTGAGTGTGCAACCACTGTCAGGGCCTGAGGTGAGGAGGCGCTGACGGGAGCCAATCAGGAGAACCTCGGTCCTGTTGACGTTCAACTGAAGAAAGTTAGCTCTCATCCAGGACTTGATGTCTGACAGACATTCTGTCAGGACAGCAGTGGTCCTGGAATCAAGGGTGGAGGCAGAGAGGTAGAGTTGGGTGTCTTCCGCATATATGTGTAAGTTGACCCTATGTCTGTGGATAATGTCACCAAGAGGGAGCATATAGATGTTGAAAAGGAGGAGACCAAGGACAGAGCGCTGAGGAATTCTGCACGAGACGGTGCAGGGGCTAGAGGAGAAGCCATTTGAGGAGATGAAGTGCAGGCGGCATGTGTAGACTGGTTTGTAGGTCTTTTTTTTTAATACTTTTGTTGAAACACTTTGCCCCCTTCCTCCCTCAAAACACATCTTAACACCTACGTGCAAGGCAGAGTTAACATGGAACTCTCAGTCTGGTTTTGATACTCTTAAGGACGGTGATGGGTTTCCGCATATGTCAGGCACCCTCAGTGTTCTATAGGTTCAG